TCATTCACTATGGTAAGATTTTTTTGTTCTGATGATACCTTATACCTGATCTCTTTGACACCTTGTGATTGCATAGGCTGGTGACCTTCTTCCATGTGGGCTTTGTTGCTTCTGAGCTTGATGGCCGCTTGATTACCTTCAAGCCTTTACGCTGTTAGTTTTTTATTCCTTGTTTTTTAATTTTGTATGTTTTTCAGTATATGAAATTCAGGATGGATGAATCCACAGAGACAGTGGCTTAATGGTTTAAGGATTAATGGTTTCTTGGGGGTATGGCATGGGAGGTTGGAGGGAAATGAGGAGCTCAGAACAAGAAATACAAGAAAGAAGAAAATGTTCCAAAATTGATTGTGGTAAGGATTGCACAGCTCTTCTTGATATGATTGAACTATCGCATGATAGATTATGTTCCAATAAAACTATTTAAATTAAATTAATAAATAATATATTTTTTAAGTTCATGGAAACATACCACTTTTCCACAGACTACTTCAAAGTACCTAGTATATCCAGTCCCTCAAATCCTTCTTTACCGATCCAAGCAATTTTTTGTTTACATTCAACAATTCATACACATTTTATTTCAACTCATCCATTGCAATTCCCCAAAACCCTTTTGTTGGGAACTAATAGATATCATATCATTCCATAGTTCAATCACATCAAGCAGTATTTTACAATTGGTAACAATCAGTTTCAAACCATTCTCCTCCTTCTTGAACTCCTGACATCAGTTCCCCTTTACCCTAATCCCCTCCTACACTATACTCCCCAGGAACCTTTAGTCTACTTGCTAGCTCTATAGAGTCATCAATCCTGGCTTCATATACCAAAAAACAGACACAGAACCCCCCCAGTGACAGAATACCTCTAAGATAAGCCCCAATATGAAAAACAACAAAAGCAATGGAAATGTCTGAAAACCAGATCAGGCCCAGCATGCATCAGAGGGGGCAATCAACAGAGAAGGTTTTTAACTGTTCCAGTCAGGTTTATCAGTTTGATCTCCTATAGTCATCTCTACAATGGACTCTGTTTGGTAACCAGTTACTTCCCATCCATCTGTTAAGGACAGAGGGAAATCACCGAAGATGTATTTTCTGTGTAGATCTCAAAAATGTATCTTGGGCTTGATCCAAGCTCTTTAAAATTGTGCTTAAACCTTAACTTCTACAGGAAGACTTCCCCAATTAGATGAATTATCCCAATCACACTATAATTTATATACCCTAACAGCTGCAATTTCAAATTTTATTTTTATTTTTCACCCTTAATAAATTGGTTTTATTAACTGACCATATTCACATTTTATCTGTGTATGTTTTATCTGCCAATCAAGTTAAAACTGTGAAGGTCAAGGATCTTAATTTCGTTAAAGCTCCTATTCATACATGAACACATAGACAAGCATCATAATATCTATAGATTGTCCAAAATTTGAAACTCCAAAACCATTATTTACTTACGTCATATTAATACCACTGATCTTCTCTACCAAAAGTCCTTACTACTGCTACTGCTAAGGAGCCCTGGGGGGTGGAGAATTCATGAGTTGGGAACCTGGCAGCCTGAAACCATAAGCACTCTTGTTCAGTAAAAATATATAAACAGTCCTGGAAACCCAAAGGGGCTGTTCTACTATATCACATATGATTTCTGACAGCAGTGGGTGAGGACTGCTACTACCATTACTGAGATTACTACTCCGGGAAAAGATCTTTAAGGTTTTAAGGCTTTAATAGAAGGTGGGAGGCTCTCAAAGTCAGAGGACAATCTTGCTATGTGCAGAATGCACATGAAAAGTGGTGTGTGTGTGTGAGAGAGAGAGAGAGAGAGAGAGAGAGAGAGAGAGAGAGAATATTATCCACAGGAGAGAGAGAGAGTAATAATATTATCCACAGTATGGTTCTAGAAATAAAAGCATGGGATCACCAGGGAGCTCATTAGGAATTTAAGAATTGAAGAATCCCAGACCTACTGAACCACAGGAACAATTTAACAAGCTCCCTAGGTGATCCCTTAGTACACTAGAATTTACAGTGTGCTGACCTAAATCACAAAGTCACGACGGATAATGTGAACGTACCGATGACAAACGCAAAATACCTCTGTGCACAAAAGCAAGCACCGAGTAAACAGACAAGATACACAAAGAGAAAAATATTGGCAACATGGTTAAGTGGGGAAATCCAGGACATACCCAAAACGACTACAACTAATAATAACAATTTTAAAAAGCAGACGCGACAGAAAGACGGGCAAGGAATAAAAGTCCATTAACAGACGAGAAACTACAGAATTAAAACCACATGCGATTCTAAGTTTCTGTAAAATACTAAAGCAGGAGCATCGGGAAGTCAGGGAACACTTGCTTGCACAATCAGAACTAAAGATGAACGCACTGGATCAAAACGCCGTGTCCAAGTAGGGAGGCGGAGGCTGTCAGCCTGGGTACCTTGCATAAGTCGGCGCCGATGGCCGCCAGGATGTCCCTTTCCCGCTCTTGCACCATCCTCCGCAGGGCCTCGAGCTGCTGCAGACGGAATCGCAGGGGCCGCGAGCGGCCGGACCGGAAAGCGGCGCGAGCCCGCCGCACTTGGTGCTCCATGGCCTGCCACCAGCTCGCCACTCGCCCGTTTCCCGACAACGGCAGCACTGAGGCCGCGGCACAGGCTTCCCACCCCCCGACGACCCCACGTCGCTCGCCCATTGGCTCCGACAGGCCACGTGACCATCGCGGCGGACACCGCCCAGCCGTGCCCCGCGCGTTTGCTGCCGCCAGGGATTAGTTCCCTGGTTGGCCCGCCCGGAACGTTGAGATGTGGGGCAGAAGGAAAAGGGTGGCCAGGCTAGTGCCAGGGGCCCTTGATGACCACGGGGGAGCCTAGAGTCCTAGAGAAGCAGGTAAGAAGGTAATGGGAACAGTGTAGAAGGAGGAGGGAAGCCGCCCTTTAGGGGATTTTCCTCCCTCCTCAGTCTTATGTGACCAAGTGGAAAGAATAGAGAAGCTAGGAGGCAGCTGAATGCACCAGGCTAGATCTCAATGGGTCTGGGAGTGCCTTAACCTCAGCGCTCTGCCTCCGAAGCCACAGGAGAGGAAGTTCGCTCAACCCTTTTTTCCTGGTCGCCTACTAAAGGCTGCTTGATGTCATCCAGTGCCTATGGATTTCTGGGGCTTGTGGTATGACAACAGAAAGCTAGGATTTCTATTTCTCCCATTATGCTGTAACACCATTTACAGCAGTGTGTGTACAAATACCCTGTATTATCCTGCATCCTTTAAAAAAGTTCGTCCTTGGCGGCAGATTACTTGTTAGCTCCAAAATGCATTGTGGTGGATTAATTAAGTCATATAGTGACCAGATAGGACAGACTACAACTGTCCTCTAGGATTTCCAAGACAGCCAGTGTGTTAGGGTTCTCTAGAGAGATCAAACCAGATTGCTAATAATTATATATCTATATTTATATAGATATATAACACAAGAAATAAACAGTTAAATTATAAAGCAATACAAATGGCTCAGTTCAATTAAAATGTGTTAGACAGTTGTGAGACACTGGCAGTCCTTCAAGTCTTGAGGGCCGCCAGGTAGTCCTCTGTAGAGAGATTTAGGCTACCCCGGCACAGGCAGCAAACAGCAAGGTAGGTCACCAACAGTCAGTCCCCAACTCAAGAGATGTAAATTCCAGTTGTGTGGCAAAGTAGGTCTTCAAGGAACCTCAAGTTACAGTGACACAGTCCACAGGTTAGGTGTCCCACAGGTAGTGTACACTGGTCCGATGATCAAAGAGCAAGAGACAAGAAAGGCGAGGTTCGCCACGCCATTTATCTCTCCACCCTTCAATTAATCCCACATGTGTTTATTGGCCAGGCTGGCACAATAAACTAATTACCTCAGCCAGTCTTTATAGAAGCTGATTGTAGGATTTAACTGACCTTTAGGTTGACCGCCCAGCATTTAACCATTGCATCACTAGAGTTCCTGAATGTGGCATGCTAGTTATTATCCAATATTTTTCTGCCCCACTCCCAACCTTTTGTAGCAAAACTTCTCCCAATGAGGGAATTCACGCCAACCAGACTTGCTTCCGTATCAAATTCTAGTTGCTAAATTCTGTTCTCTTATGGAGGTTAACTTTTGGAGCAGTTAATGGCGCACATTTTCTGGAGACACGGTCTGCCTTTGTTTTCTGGTACCTTGCACTATTGTGAAGGAGCCTTGGTGTCCTAACTTTGGGCTGCTAACTGCAAGGTCAGCTGTTCACACCCTGCAACGTCTTGGTTGGAGAAAGATACGGTGGTCTGCTCCTGTAAAGATTTGGAAATCCTGTGTTGGTAAGTGCAGAAGAGGCCGTTCCAACTCATAGTGACACTATTTATAACAGAAGGAAACAGTGCCAGGTCTTGGAAATACTTCTTGGGTCCTGTACCATCCTCACAATTGTTATATTTGAGCCCATTGTTACAGCCACTGTGTCAATCTAGCTCCTTAAGGGTTTTCTATTTTTCTGCCCATCTACTTTACCAAGCATGCTGCCCTACTTTACCAAGCAAAATATTGAACAATGCAGGACATATCAAAAGAAGATGGAAGGATCAGACAGAGAACATTATAAAGTTGATTATGGTAGATATAAGTAAATTAAAATGCAATGCCTTGTCATTTGATCTCCACTTGGACTCATTTTAAAGTTGTTTCAGTTGTTAGTATTTTCTGTTTTCTTTCTTTATTCAGGTTTTTCTGTTTTGTTTAGTCATTGTTTTTGTTTGCTTCTCATGATTTTTGTATATCTGAAATCTAGGAGAGACAGATTTATAGAAATGGTAACTGGATTTATAACAGCTTAGGGGCAGGGCAGGAGGGAATTGGAGAGCTAACAACACTAAGTATCAGAAGAAAATGTTGCAGTTGATTGTAGTAATGATTGCACAAATCTCTTTTAAATCATTTTATTAGGGGCTCATAAAACTCTTTTTTTTTTTAAAAACATTTTATTAGGGGCTCATACAACTGTTATCCCAATCCATACACACATCAATTGTGTAAAGCGCATTTGTACATCATTCTCAAAAC